CGCAGTAGTCGCTGTCCGATGATTGTTGAAGACAGCCCTTCAGCCCCCGATGCGGGGGGCACAGAAAAAGGAGCGAGTGGATGCAAACTGACCGTACTGGGGATCCAGTTGCAGGATGTATGTAGACATCGTTGCTGGTGGTGCAAACGGTTCAGTCGGTCTTTTGGAAGAGCAAGTCGAGGCTCAGCATCCACACCTCCAGCACTACCACTCCCCAACATGTGTGTGTGTGTGTGTGCTGGCGCAGGGGAAAGTCTGTGCAGACGCGCAGAAGAGAAAGAAAGACCTAGAGCGAGCGAGAGCGAGAGCTGTCGACGTGGGGCTGAGCATGCAGGTGGGAAGGGGGAAGTAAGGAACAAAGGGACAGTGCTGGTAAGAAATGGAAACCCGAGTCGCCGTGGCAACTCAGCATGGATTTGTGCTGGAAGCCCGAACAGCAGAATTTGAAATGCAGCTCACACTGCTTAGCCGTGACAGCGGTGGGAAAGAACTGCCCTCCAAGCACAGAGCGTTCTTGGATGCGGTCTGGCATCGCCTGGCTTGCCTTGGACAGTGACCACAATCCTCAACGTAGTGCGGCTCGATTGAGAGACAGAGTTTCGTAACAAAGTTGCTTGCGTGTATCGGCAGACGTTTCCGACAGCCGGAAACTCTCAAGGGCTTTCTATAAGTGCCATGTGCAAACGACAGAAGTTCGAACGATTCAAACATTCGGAGTCTCCAGAGCGGTGCAGGCATTTACTGGCTTTGTGTGCTGGCCCCAGCCGGGCGGCATGTCAGGCAACTGTGAGTCCAACAGCTGTCAGAAACAATGGACGCAGTGATGACCGATCTCAACACCGATGGAACAGGGGATCAGTCCAAGTCTGGAGAGACCCCGAGAGCCGCATTTCCTCTCTCTTCAGGTCGACAACAGCGCCTCGTGGGTGAGCAGCAAGACAATCACCATCGACGTTCGGTGATCTCACCTGGAGATTTCACAGCAGCCACTACCCTCCAAGCCTGACGGAGCAACGAACTTGCAGCTCTGGTGATGCAGATAGTCTAGGGTTCTGAGAAGTAGCAGCTGGGCCGCGGAGGGCTTGGCGCGGGTAGTCTGACCTGAGCCTTGCGAGACTCGGCTGTGAAAGCTGCCCAGAGAGAGCAAAAGAGACACTTCCGTGCCCAAGAGGTTCTTGACCGACTAAGGAATGCCTCGCAAAAGGGAGGCAGCGACACGATCACGTGTTCCAAGTTGAGTGAGACAGGTCTTGTAGCAAGTGGTGTAGCAACAAGACACGCAGACACAAAAGCACACGGGCGTGCGTGTGCGTGTGCATATGCATATGCATTCGCATACAAACATGCATGCATGAATGAGTGGAATGGAATGGAATGAAGGAATGAGGGAATGAAGGAATGAAGGAATGGAGGAACGGAGGAATGGAATGGGGTGAATGGAATGGAGTGAACGAGTGAATGAATGAATGCATGCCTGAGTGAGTGAGTGAGTGAGTGAGTGAGCGAGTAAGAATGAAGATGAATGAATGGATTGAATGGATGAATGGATGAATGAACCAGTGAGTGAATGAGTGAGTGAATGAGTGACTGTGCGTGAGCAAGCGAGTGATTGAATGAATGAAAGAACGAACGAATGAGTTAATGAATGACTGAGTGAATGAATGAGTGAGTGAATGCATGCATGCATGCATGCATTCATGCATGTATGCATGTATGTATCCATGCATGCATGTAGGTAGGTATGTGTGGGTATATGTGTTTACTCCTGTCTGTGCATGCATGAACATGTCTGCACGTAGAGCCGTACCCCTAAATCATGCAGGCAACAAGACGGGAGAGCTCAGGCTCTGTTCCATAGAAATCCTATTAACATTCCTGCCAGCAGGGGAAATCTACAGTGTAGTGTCGGAAACAGGTTCATACAAGCCTTACATGACATGAAAGTCCATTGCGACCGGGGGGGAATTATGTTAAAGTCGTCCGCACTACTCGTGTCGCTCGTTCCACTTGCGCCACTCGCGCCAGGAACGAGTGGAACAGGTAAGGTATGGGGCGAGTGCAGGGAGTGGAACAAGCGGAATAGGTGGAGCGCGGGGCGAGTGGAACGAATGGAACGGTTGGAGCGAGTGGAGCGAGTGGAACAGACTGATTAGCGCCCCTCTTCTGCAAGAGTTCCCCACCTCACTTCACCACGTGCCTGCTGAACTCGTAGACATCGTAGCCTCAGTCAGCGAGTAGAAAGGCACTGCAGGAGTCTCATTATTTATCTCAGGGACAATGCAAAATCGAGACGATGCCTCAATGTTGCAAAGACTCCTGGAACCCTAACCCAGGAGTTTGCATTTGCTTTTAAAACCCTCCAGTGCCTGGCTACAGCCTTGCTGCACTGACTGTCTCTCAAGCCCGGAGCGCAACCTTGCGCTGAGGCAAGTGTAGACTTCGAGTGCGAACCGTGGCCAAGCTTTCCCCAGGCACCTGTGAAAGAGTTGCCTTCCGGTTCCGGGTAGCGTCGGGATGTTGGATTGCGCTCAGGAGCTATCGGAGTCTGTTCAAGGAACCTAGCCTCCTTTGCCCTAGAGGATTTACGGACGTACAGCAGCATTAGCCTTCAGCTGGGCGACACAGCGACATTCTGTTGACCTGGACTGACGCTTGATTTTGGGATGCCAGAAGCCCAGTGGGCTTTGGTACCACTGCCACCTTGCTAACAGTAACAGGGCACGATGTCGTGCCAGTTGAGATCACTGCCACTGGCAGCCGCCAGCTACCAGACTTGGCATCGTCCCCATACTCGCGACTCAAGTGTACCAGTATGTCGCACATTAGTTTCTATCCGTTTAAGAGCCGGTGTTTCCTTCACCAGATGGGTGCAGGCTCGAGACCTTTGCCAACAGCTGCTGGCCTTCCAGCCGGAGGATGCGAAACGGCGCCCCCTGTGACCTCCTCAACTCCAAGAGCCCAATAAAACCCGGCTTGAGACGGCGGCATGACTGATCCAAAGCCTTGATTTGTGGGGGATTTGTCAGCACCTATTAGCAGAGCTCTCCCATCCCCATGCCTCACGGAGGGGTTCACCGCAGCGGTTCCGAAACCTTCGAAGCAAACTTTCTGATAGTTAGCAAAGCAAATCCCACGAAGCTCAACGTTTCGCTTGACCATGCTTTTCGGGAATGTATTGCAGGTGTAGTGTTCTGACAGCTTTCGCACGAAGAAGGTATGGAAAGATCTGCTGGCATGCGCACAAGAGTCCTCCTTTCTACGGATTGCCCTAAGCGAAAAGGTGAAGTTCCGGAGAAGACTCATGTCCTTCCTTGAAAGCTTCAGTTCGTTCGCATGAGATCGCGGCCATGCAGGACAGAAGTCCGTCGGCGAGGGCCGCGCTGAACCACCCTTGGTTGAAAGGGAAGTGAGCCTTTGAAAAAGGGGGCCTTCCGTGTCGTGGGTTTACCGTGGAGCTCGAAGACCCCTCCGTGTGATCCTTTGCGTCCCCGCGGTTCCGCGCCGCCAGTGCAAACGTTGACCCTGGTATGGCTCGCCACATTGGCGTCCTGTAAAGAGCAATGTGATGTAACCATCTTCTCCGTTTCTCACACGGGTGAGATGTATCGAATTGTTCGCAAGTCCTGAACGCAGCTGCAGGAGTTAGTTCTTTTTTCGGAACCCCCCCATTTCTGAAGCTCTTGTTCATCGGCATGCTGTTGCCAAGCACGGTATCCTTCATTGCAACAAAGGTCGAGCATGCAAGGCATTCACGACCCGGTTACAGGAGTCAGAACTCGGAGAAGCGGCGAGCTCTCATGGGCAACCTCCCCCCCTCCTCGCGTTTGCAAGGAAGGTTTCAGTTCTGATGCACCGGAGAAAGGTCTAGGCCCTAGGCCTCAACACATCGAGGCCGCCACAGCATAGACGTCCCGGTGACAGAGCAGCTGCCTTCCTTGCCCCTCTGACATCCTCTCGGCGGCGGGGATCTAGCGGCTAGCGAAGGTAGCCTTGAACCCTGTCCCAGCAATTAGAGATACCCCTGCTGCCGTCCTCGTAGCTTGTCCGGGATGCCCGGAGCAAGGCCATCAAGGGCCTGGCTCCGGAACTCTGTCACCAAGGAAGGGTCCGAATACGCGTTTGAATTTGTCATCCCGGGTGCTAGCAGATGGAGTAGTCATGTGTTGAGAGCATCCAGCCAAAGGCTGCGGTGCCGTTGCAGTGATTGCATGCTCCCTCATGATCAGGGTTTTCCATTTCGACGGCTCCCATCCCCCACCCTTACGGGAGCCGCCGGAAGTGCAAGCAACACCTCGCATGTACAGAGCTTGCTCAAGGTTCCAGCACAGCGAGCCCGGAGGTCGGGGCCAAGAACACCACAACGAACCGAGCAAGCTCAGCTCTGGACATGCGAGGGCGAAAGTGCAGCTGCGCAACACGCAGGTGGCACGCCGAGGCCGAACCCCGCTGCGTTCGAAACATGTCCGACATTCACTACCTCTGGAGTAGCAGAACTGACCCCCCACCCTTTGTGGGTGCAGATCCTCAGAGGGGTGAGTATCGTTCTGCCAGTTTTGTCGAATAAACCATTCGGAGGCTGCTTGAAGGCAACTACGGCCTTTCGTGTGCGTTTCGCATTTGCAGTTCTTGAAACAGGCTACAGGTTACAGGCCCGCTGCAGGCCCCGGAATGCTGCCCGCTGCTCGCCGTGTAGGCTGCAATGACTGAGTAGTGCAGCACGCTTCCGCACTCCGTCCGATTCCCTTTCGAAGTCTTCGGAGGAGGAGCCTCCGGCATCGGGCATCAGGGTCGTTTCTGGGACGTCCGGGGCAGTGTCGCTGCGTTCTACGAAAGGTCTGCAAGCTTGTCCACGTCCAGCTTCGGCTCGGGCACTCTCTGCCTGGCTTGCTCAGGAGAGCCCCCTTCAGACATGCAGGAGGCAGCACTGGCAAGTGATTTGCCACATGGCTGCAGGGTTTTTTTCAGACCTTGGCTTTAGCAGACTCCCGGTGTCGCCCGAGGTCCAGTGTGATCAGCGTGTACGTGCAGTCTCGGATCGATGCAAATGTGAAGCCGGACAAGAAGCAACGCGGAGCCATACAAAGCCTTGCCGGCGCTGACGTGTTGCAGTTGCTTCTGCGGCAGGTCGTCGAGCGTGCTTCGTTGGATGGGGTGGTTATCGAGTCTTTCTACCTGCAGCAGCAGATCCATTGGGAGATCGAGAAACACCCAACTCCAAGTCGTCTTGCGCCACCTCAGATGATGAGAAATCTCCACAGGCTCCTGTCTCGCATGAGCTGGGATCGTATGATCCAGTTTGTCCGGCATTGCCCTGCTTGTCAAAGCAGCTTCCTGGACGATGTGCAGGCAAGGTTGGTCTCTTTGCGACCAGGACATTTGAGTGACCCCAGTGGTCTCAGACATGCCAAGTCCGTATGGCTATAGGCTATAGGTCATGTGGACGTGATACCGTGATCCAGAACTGAAGATCAGGCTTTTTTTGATGAACCTGTCGCCGGTCGCCTGTCGCACCATGACGGGATCGCAGCATCGTGTCTTTGTACAAACTGTTTGAATGTGCCTGGACGGCACGACTCGGAAGCGTCTGGCAGAGACGCGCCCCAGCGGAGGGTATGGGGAAGTCAGCCCACATCAGTCCTTCGGCAGATGATGTGCCGACAGGTCGCTAGGCTCACTTCTTCCTGGGGCGCAGTCAAAAGCTTCAGATACTGTCCGAGTTCCGGGCTTGATCAAGTCAGAACAGACATTGTTCGGCGAACCAGTCTCATTGATACAGAGTCATTTCCGTCTCACCACTCTCCTTTTTTGATTCAGCGTTGCTCTCGACCACATAGCAAAAATCGCAGTCGTCTTTCGCACGGGCATGCAGCCAGTCCCCTGCCTTTGTTATTGCTGTTGAATGCCTTGTCCGCAGAACCTGGTTGAAGCAGGTGAAGACTTGATAGATATACGTAGATAGGACCCAAGTCTCTGCCGGAGGCTTCCTGCAAAGGCGCTGGCTGTTGGGGAAAGTCTGACGTAGTCTAGGCGAGGATCACTCTCACAGGCCAGCTTGCTTGACAGGAGCATGGCGCACGTGGCGCGAGAACTTCTGAAAAAGGAGCTGGTGAATCTGATGAAGGACTGCTCAATCAATGATGTTGTGACGCCTTGCGGCACAACCGTGCTCCGCCCAAGTCTTTCTGCCGTGTTCCGTCTGCATTTGTGCTCCTCTCCCAACCAGGTGCAACTGTTTGAGGCAAGATCGCAGGTCTCGTCCGAACTCACAGTCGCATAGTCGCAATCGCAACTACGGGTCAGAAAGAGCACCGAGGCACGGCACAGGCTTTCAAGGTGTAGCGTGAAAGTGGAAAGCATAAACCCCGATTGAATCCGATCTCAGCTCCTTGCTGTGTGGAGGATGAGAGCTGTGGCTTTTCCGTTGGCTTGGAGGCATCTACGCCGACAGTCCTACATGTTTCGGACATCCAGCAAACGCCCCCCCCATCACAAGAAAGCCGGTTTAGCACTGTGCTTCGGGGTATGGGAGGAGCTTTGCAGAGTAGACCCTCGGAAGGTGTACCAGCCACCAGGATGATGTCACATGGCTGATGGAATTGGATCAGCATCTCATCTCTTCTCTAGGAGAAACATCGATTCGCAGCAGCTGTTTGCCAGCCCGACTCCCAAATCCAGAGTCCTCTAGCCAGACACATGGAGCACTGTGGAATCGAAGACGATAGCCCCTGAGCGTCTACAGGATGACTCGGACTTCTTCACGTGGCGGGTTGTCTTTGAAGGTCCATCAGATAGCCTGCCGGGTGCTTGGACTAAGAGCGCAGTGTACAGAAGTCGATGAGTCTGTCTGAGTGTAGGGATCTTGCGGCTAGCGCTTGGGTTTGGACATGTGAGGCCTAAGATTGAAAATTCTAGCATGGGGTCTTGAGCGCACAACTTTCAGACCGAACCCAAACCGCTCACATTCTCAAGCAAACGACAACTTCCAACACCGAATCCACTTGTTCCTTGTGGCAGATCGAGAATGCTCACCGCGGCCCTCACAAAATCGTCCCAAGCTGAAGGTACGAAGGCGGCATCTTCACCGCGATACTGAAGTTTCCAGGTGACTTCCCGAACAATCCGCCAGAAATGAGGCCTGGTTCGGGCCAGAGCAGAGGGGTTTTCAGATCCGAGAGGGAAAAGATTGACTTCTCGTAGGCCTCAGGTTCAAATTCGGGGCGGGCGGTTTGTGATCGATTTGGTCGCAGAGTTTCAGAAGAGGTCCCGGGCCTGCCAGCGAATGCCAGTGTCAGGTTTGAGACAGAGATGTGGCATCCCAACATCTACCCGGATGGCCGTGCACTCCGGGCGAGTTGCCTTCAGTTTCAGAACCAAGCGACAGACAATCTCTGCAGGGGGAACCGATTATCGTGAGACCATGGCTTTCAGTGGGCTCTGCTCGGATGTTTTTCAAATCTTCCTTGGGTCTGCTGCGTGCACACGAAGCCCGTTTGCTGTCCTTCTCCTGTCAGCTTTAAACTGTGGAGCCGATGCTTCCTTTCAAGCGCCTTGTTTCATGGGCCAGGTCTGCATCTCGATCCTACACCCGCCAGGGACGGACAGATTCAACGATCAGGCGGGAAGCTCGGACATAGCCACACACACACACACCCACTACTTGTACTTCTAAGCAAGGGCGGTGTTGCATCTGTTAGTCGCGATCGTCGTCCAGACGATTCAGTGAGCAAGTCAGCTCCCGCGTCTGGCGTAGGCCAGGTGTGTTCGAGATAGGTGTACCGAGAGCCTTGAGCCTTGAGCGCCACAAGCAGCATCATGTCACGTGATGGCGGAGTCTTGATCCTGCACACCAGTGCCCGCTGGCCGGGCCGGCGACTTCTTGCCTGGGGGGGTTCCGCAGGAGACGGCCGATGAACGCTGGCGGCCGATCCTCGGGGTGCACAGCATCTTAATCAGCGTGGCCCGGCCGTTTTTTGGGTTCCTTTGGGGGTCCGCACATTTAGGGCTGAAGGTTTAGGTGCTGAAAGTCTCGTCGGCATGTCTTGCATGTGTATGAGCATGCTATAGCCTTGATGGCTCTTGTGAAGCTTGCGTTGGCAGTACAGGTCTGTGCAGAGCTCAGAAGCCTTAGCAAGCATTCGCATGACACAACTGCCTTAGACGGGCCAGAACCTTCGCATGCTGTGAAAAACCGCGACTTTCCAATTCGTTTGAGTGATCATGGCTTCCCCTGCTGCTAACTCCTCTGCACCTGCCGTTCCAGCTCTTCAACAGGGTATGAGCCCAAGCAACGTGATGATCGAGGGTGAGGTCCGTGGACCGGATTACAACCAGCAGGCCCTTGACCCGCTGCGTATTCCGCAGCAAGAGTATGGAACGCAGGATGCTATGCCTAC